AAATCCTATACATAAAGTGGGCACATTTCATGCAAGGGGGTAGTACAATCCACGTAGCCCCTGCTCCAGAGTACCGCAGCCCGCAGCCGCGGTACAGTCCGTAGCAGAGGAGCGAGGGAGAGCGAGAGCTTGGGGATAGTGGTCACGATGAGCACAGTCTCCGTGGGGATTCCTATCAACAACCCCCTTCGACAAGACGGCTGGGCTAAACCGCGTCTGCCGAGAGCGAGCGGATGGCATGCAGTTTGTTTGCCGCTGCGGACACAACTTCGGCGACGGTTCAGGAGTCGACGAGGGCACCGCCTTGCAGAATGAGGCTTCGCACAAGCACGAAGAGTGAGTGTAGATGAGTACCATTTGGTGAGATTGCCTTGGTTGCATTATAGTATAATCTGCCTCGCAGCAGCAGCAGCAGCAGCAGCAGCAGCAGCAGCAGCAGCAATAGCAAGAACAACCCACACAACAACCCACACCAAGGTTGGACGCAACCAAGAGTGCGCGAATGCGGGGCCCTCGCGATGCAACTGCCGTCGTCGTGTTGTACACACCAAACGTGGTTGTACTGCTGCCCGTGTAGCTGGCAGCGGCATCTGCGTGTGTGTTGTGATGCTTCCCATGTAACTGGAAGCATCATCAGTAGCGGGAGCCTCAACAGCAGAGGCAGAAGCCGCAGCGGTAGCTGAGCAGCATGACAACTTGTGACAACGTTTGAGAAAAAAAATGCGCGAAATGCAGACCGGCACCACCCACAAGGCTGTGTGCCACGGGGATATTCGTGCCTCTGTAGAAGAACTGGCCTTTACATTGATTGGTGTCCCCTGCCCTTGCCTGCCACTTTGCGCACGCCCATCGCATGCGAGCAGATCGCGTTCGCCTGTTTGTTGCGAAAATCGCTCAGAAGAATAGCAGTGGCAACTGGGTTTGCACCACGTGCCAGCACTCTTTCGGCTCCGGTGAAGGGCTGACCCAGTTTCATGTGGACCAGCACGAGAGAGGTCGACCGCACACATGTGAGGGCGATGGCGGTCGGTGTCCGCAGTTGCATTCTCGAGTAATTTGGACCGCTCACTTGTGCTTACCAACATTTCAAGACCTCGCAAGACCCGTTACTTTGTCTATCCTCGCGGCACGCATGTCGCGCAAAGTATCAGTGCGTGCATGCAGCTTTCTTTGTCGATGTGTGCGAATGCGTCGCCTACTACGCAACTTGACACAGTATGTACAATAGAACGATTAGATAATTATTCCGTCTCTCAACGGCGGATCAATCAATATTCATTCACATCCGCAGGCGTGGTGCTGAAGCTAAGCGTCAGAGGAATACAATGCTGAGGTTTTTTAAACCGAGTATCGGGCGGCGGGAAGGGGTCGAGGGACGTGATGGGTCGCAGCGGTGGCGCAAGCAGTGACGTTTACCGTATATGACACAAGATAACACACCCCCTTGGCCGATTTTCAAAGCTCGATTTCTCAACAGCAGGAAGAGTCACAGCGCCGAAAACGGCGGCGTTGGAACCGTCTCGTCGAGAGGTTTTCGAAAATGTATTGTTTCGTTTATGCATCCTCTTCGTCGTGGAGTAATCGAGCTTTGAAAATCGGTCCAGGGGGTGTGTTATCTTGTGTCATATACGGTAGGTGGTTACGACGGGAGTTGCAGGCGGGCGTGAGGGCGGAGCAGGCGCGGGTAGCGACGCTGAGGTGGTTGCGACGGGAGTTGAGGGCGGGGGCGGAGGCGGAGCGGGCGCAAGCAGTGACGTTGAGGTGCTCTCGACGGGAGTTGCAGGCGGGCGTGAGGGCGGAACGGGCACGGGTAGCGACGGTGAGGTGGTTGCGACGGGAGTTGTGAACGGGCGTGAGGGTTGTGAGGGGGCGAGCAGCGAAATGGATGGAACTTTCTCCGACGCTGCACACGAGAGAGAGTGGTTCGACCGATATGGTGCGCGTCCAAAACCCCCTCCGCTGCGCGGGATTGCGTCCGAATGTTCGGGAGCCTCTTCTCCAACACTACCCAGCAGCTTTG